ATCCACTAATAACTCAACCAGACACAGTGGCTACATCTGTAATCCCCCCACATTTTGGGAGGCCAAGGTGGAAGGATCACTTGAGGCCAGGAGTTCAAGACTGGCCTGGGCAACATAGCAAGACCCTGTCACTACAACAAAATAAGAAAAATCATCTCTACGAAAAATAAGAAAAATTATCTGGGCATGGTCGTGTGGGCCTATAGTCTCAGCTACTCATAAGGCTGAGGTAGGAAGATCACTTGAGCCCAAGTTTGAGGCTGCAGGGAGCTATGATTGCACCCTGCACTCCAGTCTGGGTGACAGAGCGAGACCTTGTCTGAAAAAAAAAAAGAAAATGTTCAGCATCCACTAATAACTCAACCAGACACAGTGGCTACACCTGTAATCCCCCCGCAGTTTGGGAGGCCAAGGTGGAAGGATCACTTGAGGTCAGGAGTTCAAGACTGGCCTGGGCAACATAGCAAGACCCTGTCTCTACAAAAAATAAGAAAAATTATCTGGGCATGGTCATATGGGCCTGTAGTCCCAGCTACTCATAAGGCTGAGGCAGGAAGATCATTTGAGCCCGGGAGTTGGAGGCTGCAGTGAGCTATGATTGTGCCACTGCACTCCAGCCTGGGTGACAGAGCAAGACCCTGTCTCCAAAGAAAATTAAAAATTAAAATTAAATAAGTTTTATGAAAAATTATACCTCGGGCTCCTGTGGGGATATGGCTATTAACGCTCTCGAACGCTCTACTGTGGGAACTCACTGGAGACGGTCAACAGTGGCGAGTGAGCGAGGCGGTGCATAAAGGAAGTGGAAAGTGAGCTGCAGCAAAGCAGAGGGCACTGAAGGGAAGGAAAGTGACAGGAAACCGTCTTCCAGGAGAGGGGACCCGAGCGGTTCCCAGGACACAGGAGTGATAAATGCTCAAAGTGAGGGACGCCCCAGCCACCCCGACCGGAGCATTACACATTCTGTGCATGTAACAAAATGCCACACGTACCCAAAATGTATGTGAAATACTGTGTATTGATTAAAAAAAAAGAAGAAGAAAGAAAGAAACAGTATTCCCAGTAGGAGGACGTGTAGTTCCCAAGGCCTGCGGGCGCCCAGGGGCATCGCCTGTGACGCGTCCTGGAGGCTGCCGGATGACACTCAGCAGACCAAGCGGAGGAGGGCAGCGCTGAGATCGTGCTGCTGTTAGACTCTTCCTCTCAAGTTAACTTCTCGATTTGATGATTTTGTTCTAATCGGCACTCTGTCTAAGAGGAAGCATGCCACTGAACCAGGGCTGCAAATACAAACAAATGAAGAGAAAAACACCTTTCTTTCCTCTTTGTGATGAAAGAGCCCCGATTACTGTCAGTCAGGGAAAATACTGTCATCCCTAAGCCCTGTCCCAAGCCTCGGCCTCTTGCGGTACAACCCTAGTTACGGCATTGGCAGTGACACGGGACCTCGGCCTGGTTACTCAGGTGCTGGGATTTGAGGCTGAGTTTTAGATTGAATAAAGACATCCTTCGAGCTAACAAGCAGTAAAATCCCATGGCCAAGTCCCTGTTTGCCCATCTCATAAGCGGCTTTCCAGAAATTCCACGTACTGCCGTCAATTTGATTTTTTCTCTTGCATGGCAGAGCAGGTAACATGCTCCATCAAGGCCCAAAAGGAATTTCAGTAGCACTGTGGTGGATGAAAGAGAAATAGGTAGATGATACGGAGGTAAGGGTATCAGCCATGAGGGTTGCAGGACAGAGGCTGACAAATACCACAGGGCATGTCAGTGTGGTTACGGCCTTGCCCGCCAGTAGGCACGCTCTAAGAACTGTCATAGAAATACCTTTTCATGGCTGCAAATGGAGAGCGATATGACCATTGTCAGAAGAAACTGCGAGGGAATTCAGTGTGAGAAAGGTACAATCCCTACCTTCAGCAGGTGACTATTTAAGGAGAAGGGTTCTTATTTTTTAGGTAAGTAGAACACTTCAAGATAGCTTTGCTCTTAAGACCTGAGCCTTAGAAAGGACTTCACGTGCACGTGGGCGACGGATTGGGTGAGGAGGGCCTGCCTGCGTGGAGACAGTCGGTGAGCTCTAAGAGGGGTCTGGCGGGCGTACCGCCAGGGCAGCAGCGGTGAGGGTTCAGACGGCTGCAACACGGTGTGGGGGACCGACAGCACAAGGTCACTGCTGGAACGGAGTGAATGAGAAAGAAAACATTATTAGAAATAACCTGAATACCTTGAGTCGGGGTGGCCGATGGGAAGTCAGCTGAAATTAAGAGGAAGGTGCTGGTTTGAGGCAGGGGAGATGGCTGCCGGGTGCAATTTGGGCTGCCGCAGTTCATGACGTCGAAAAGGGAGCTAGCAGCCGGTGAGGGACTCACAGCTGCAGACGCGGGTCTGGAAGGGTTCTGCTTGCATGCGCCGGTGGCATGGTGGAAATTACTGTGCTCATCGGGGAAGTGAGGCTGCGCCTTGGGGACACCTTCATCTGGGCAGTGGAAAGACGAAGAAGGTCGAGGGGTGCAGAGGCCAGACCCAGAGCAGAGCTCCCGGTGGAAAGGCCTGGACAGGAGGGCACCACGTCCAGGGCACGAAGTGTGAGGACAGGATGGTGTGAAGCTTCGCATCTGAGGAGCCATGTGTGCGTGTGTGTGTATGTGCGTGTGTGTGCGTGTGTGGTGTGCACATGCCTGTGGGTGCACGGGTCATTGAACTGTAATTACAAAGGTTCTCTCCTCTTTAATCTCCTTGCCCCTTTTTCTCCTGTGACATGATCCTCTCTCATCTTCCTTCCCAGTGTCCCCTTTTGTCTCGATCATTTGCGCTGACGCTCTTGCTGCTTTCCAAGTCTTCAGCTGCTTTTATTAAAAAGCAAAGTGTGGCCAGACTGCAATGTGGTGGCTTATTCCTGTAGTCCTAGCACTTTGGGAGGCTGAGGCGGGAGGATCACTGGAGCCCAAGAGTTTGAGGCTGCAGTGAGCTATGATGACGTTGCAGCACTCCAGCCTGAATGACAGAGCAAGATCCTGTCCCTAAAAAAATATAAATAAATAAATGTTTAAAAATAAAATAAAAAATGAGAGCAAAGTGCTGCAGAAAATAGTGGTGAAGAGTAAGAGCGTGGCTTTCAGTCCTGTCTTTACCACGTGGGTCCCTGTAACCAATCTAAGGCAGACAGTGACCCCCCGAGCAGTCTCCTCAGCAGCGAGAGGGAGGTGAAAACGTGGGCCTCGCTGAGATGTTACCCCAACGTAACGTTACCATCCCAGGACCTGGCTCATAGTGAGCGCTTCATGATTTGCATTTATTATTAAATGTGGCACATATTTACCCCTCTATCTCTCTTGCTTTCTCTATCCTTTTACTTCATTCTTCACTATCCTGCAACTTCTCCCTTCCTTTCCCAGTTTAGACTCTGAGAAGAAACCTTGGAATCAGAAATCTAAGAAAGGGAAATGTCACGACGATCCTTTACATCTTAAAAAGTGGGCCTAAAAAATGTGCTAGTCTGACTTTGCCCAGCCACGGCTCATTGTGTCAAACCCGGGGTCCTGAGTTCATTAGCGATAAGATTGTATTCTATGAAGTTTATCCCATAAGTATTGTTGATAGAATCTTGGAAGGAAGTGCAATAATTGTTTCACAAGAATATTGGAAACTTTATAGAAAGTAGTATATACTTTTGAAACTTCAGAAGGAGAAAAGAAAATTTGCACTTATTCATCCATTCAAACGCTGGGGTCTGAGTTGTTTTCGAATAACAGCAGAGTTCCTCAGAATATCAATGGGGGGATGGGTGGTGTGCTTGTTGTGACATCTAAGCTGAACAGATATCCATTAATTTTACAGTCTTTGCACAAAGCATCAAATCAAGAACTAAAAATGAATTCTTCATAAATTATCTGCATACGGGATTTAATTTCTTTTCAGTCCGATCATGGAGCACATGGAGGGTGCTTGGAAGAGTTGAGGAGCTTGGGCTCGGTGGAAAGGCCCCGCGAACCAGCAGGTGGCAGCCCAGCTGCTGCCGTCAGTAACGGCATTCAGAAATCAAGCTGGCTGTGCTTTCTGTCGCTGAGAGGCCACAGCCACTTGGCAAAGAAGTTGTCCGGGAAATTCGAATGTCACTCAAACTGTCAAATCAACGTTAGCTTGAGAGGCACTGTGATCTTTCAGTAGACAGCTCCAGGGCTATGTTTCTTATGCTGGCCAATAGATTCCTCCCTGTGCTCAAAATTCTAAGCTCTGGGGTCTCATTAGGTGCTATGACCAATTCGGGGGCTAAAGTAACATGTGACTTGACCCCTCCATCCCAGGGACTCGGGGGATCTGGAATTGTGCTATTTTTACTGCCAGAGTGAGCGTCAGCGCTGCCGGAGTGTGAGCAGTCATGACAGGAGGGGCCGGCGCGGCCCAGACCAGGGCACACCGCCTCCTGACGACAGAGCGGCTGGAAGTCGCAGCAGGTGAGTGGGGCGTGGTCGCATCTATAAAGCCCCTGGCTGCTCTCAAGCCCTTCTGCTTGCTTTATGTCGTCCCGCCTCCCCCCCACCGCTACCTCCAGAAATGATAAAGCCAAAGGCAGTGGACAATTCCCCATCAAGGTGTCTGCGGAGAGAAGCTAAACGTGCTGATGGCCATGGGAGCTGTGGCAGGCTCAGCCAAACTGGAATAAAATTGTCATTCGTGCAGTACACTTTCACATACTTCACGCCCCTTCACGTCCCCAAGGCCCTGCAGCTAAAGCAGGTGTTTTCTCCCCCTTTTACAGATGCAGAAATTGAAGTTCAGAAAGATTGAATGCCTTAGTCGAGGTCACTGAGTAGGAAGGCGAGCAGAGACACAGACGCTGCTATTCTGTCCCCGCCGCGTCGGAGAGTCTGCAGAGGTGAGGAAGGTCAGACAGGGCAGGACCGCTGGAGAAACAGTGGACACGGAATGAGCAAATCCATTCATTCCATCTATTCCAACTTTTTTGATTTGTCACAGGTGCCAGAAAATGCCTCAACATGAGAAGTGACAACCAGAGCTTCTTGGGGGATCCCCCTAAACACTTCGTCCTTCTGGGTGTTTCAGACAGGCCATGGCTGGAGCTCTCTCTCTTTGTGGTCCTGCTGGTGTTCTACATTCTGGCCATGGCAGGGAACATTGCCATCATCCTGGTGTCCCGGCTGGACCCCCAGCTGCAGATCCCCATGTACATCTTCCTCAGCCACCTGTCCTTCCTGGACCTCTGTTACACGGCCACCACGGTCCCTCAGATGCTAGTCAACATGGGCAGCTCCAAAAAGACCATCATTTACGGTGGCTGCACAGTGCAGTATGCAGTTTTCCACTGGCTGGGATGCACCGAGTGCATTGTCTTGGCCGCCATGGCCCTGGACCGCTACGTGGCCATCTGTGAGCCGCTCCGGTATGCCGTTATCATGCGCCGCACGCTCTGTCAGCAGCTCGTGGCTGTGGCCTGGCTCAGTGGCTTCAGCAACTCCCTCGTCCAGGTAGTCCTGACAGTGCAGCTGCCTTTCTGTGGGCGGCAGGTGCTGAACAACTTCTTCTGTGAGGTGCCGGCCATGATCAAGTTGTCGTGTGCCGACACAGCTGTGAACGACGCCACACTGGCCGTGCTGGTGGCCTTCTTTGTGCTGGTCCCCCTGGCTCTCATCCTTCTCTCCTATGGCTTCATCACCCATGCTGTGCTCAGGATCCAGTCATCCAAGGGACAGCGCAAAGCCTTTGGGACCTGTTCCTCCCACTTGGTGGTGGTCTCCCTTTTCTACCTACCTGCCATCTACATGTACCTGCAGCCCCCTTCCAGCTACTCCCAAGAGCAGGGCAAGTTCATTTCCCTCTTCTATTCCATAATCACCCCTACCCTCAACCCCTTCATCTACACCCTGAAGAATAAAGACGTGAAGGGAGCTCTGAGAAGACTCCTGGCAAAACTCTGGAGGCTCTTCAGAAGATGAAGATCTGAGACGTGGCCACCTCCCCTGACTGATGAGCACCGAGCAAGCATGTCATGTGCGCGAGCACCTTTCCCAAGGAGCGGCAACCAAACAGTGAGGACTTAGGGAGATACGAAAGCCTCAAAAATCCCCACCCAGAACATCTCGCTTCCTGTGCAGTCACAATGCTTAAAATACTCCATCTACAAATAAAATCAATTCTACGAGTGTAATTCTAAGAGGACATATGTTTTCAACATTGTTTAAACAGACCCGATATTCAGTAAGTATTTGTTGAATTATTTAATTTCTAATTTCCTGATTCTTTCCCCTTTTCCTCTACCTACGGTTCTTCTATTTTTCTTCTATTTGTCTCTTTGCAAGTTTCTCTCTTCCTTTTCCATTATTTCTAAGTGTACATAACATGAAACTGAAACATAATCTCATTTAACTTATAATAAATGCATTTCTTCACCATAGATTTAAATATTCATAAATTTTATGTGACTTTTTCAAAAAATTCCAAGAATGAAGTGGATTGCTTTCTTCTTCCTGTGATTTAGGTGATGCTTTTATTTTTTTTCCTATAGTTCAAGTTTTCTTCTCTAGAAAATTTTCCCACCATTGACTGGGAACTAGTACAAGCATGTCTATCATGGATATGTAAGACTCAATATTAGGTTCCATGGGTACAAAGACAGCATAACCTCTTACCTAAAAAAAAGCATATACTCTAGATGAGAACACAAGCTACAAATACAATCAGAATTAAGAACAATGAAATTTTAAATAACAAGTTCCAAGTCATGGTTATTGCAAACATTTGTAGAAAGCTTCCAAGATGCAGGCACTATACTAAGTGTATTTATGCACACCATCATGTTTAATACGCAAATAACCCCACGATGTAATCACTTCTATGATTCCCCTTTTCATACAAGAATTTGATTAGTAGAGAGGTTGTGGTAACTTGACCAAGGTCATTCATCTGGTAACTGAGGGAACTGAGATTAATAATGTCTGCACTGGCTCCGTCCTTCAGTAGAATGGAGCTGTAATGCTAGCTAGCACCTTCTATTTGCATTTTGGGTTTTGCTTTGGTTTTGGTTTTGGTTTTGGTTTTGGTTCTAGATTCATTTACATATAATTTATGTGTTTTTATCCTCCTGCCTTGTATATTCCAAGCATTAACATAACCAACCATAGAAAATAAAATAATAAATATATAAAAATTAGGACCAAAAGGATTGAGGAAGGCTTTCTGACAGTGAAGACAAAAAGGAATTATGAATCACAAAGCTATAGGATTTGATTTAAGAGATGTGGAAAAAATAATGACTGTTTCAGGTACCAAGACCACAACGGGGTTTTTTCCAATGGACTGCCATAGAGCAGTCACTGGGTAATAGCTCAAAGCCTTTTATAATTAGCTTATTGAACATACAGAATGATGCATTGAAGTTTTTTATTAATGACACAGGTCCAAGTCATAATTTGATGAAAGCAATATGACTTGGATCCAAAGAAAGGCAATTCATACATACAGCAGTATAATGATATGATCTAGTTCTAGGACACATTTAAAAGTATTGAGAACTACATTTCTCAAAATTGATGTACTAGTTCAAAGGTGGATTCCAATTCTTTTCTGCCACTGCAGCAAATGGTGGGGACTAATTTTATTCCCATTAAATGAGGACCGACCTTAGGGACTTGACCGTTAGAATGTGTGAAAGTGGTATTTTAAATCTCTCAAGGGAAGGAAGGTTGTAGGGAACCTGGCAGCTTCCAGTTAGCAACACTGTCTCTGGCATTTCTGATTCACAAAGCAAGAGGTCCAACTACTCTAAGATAGCCAGTGCTAGGGAAGCCACACATGTGTGCTGACAGCCAGGCTTCCAGTCAGCTCTGCCATCCGTGAGTGGAGCTATCCTAAGCTCTACTGACCAGCCCACCCACCGGTTGAATACTACCCAGTGACAACAACAGAACAGAAGAATCACCCAACCGAGCCCTGACCAAATTCCTAACCCACAAAAGGGTGAGATATAATAAAATGTTTGTTACTCTAAGCCACTAAGTATCAGTATGGGTTGTCAGGAAGCAAAAATACTTAGAAACTAGGGATCCTTTAAAATACTCAATATTAGAATTATATAATGCCACAAGATAAACATGGTGAATTTCTCAGAAGCACCAATATTATTCAAAGTTTTAAGGGGAAATATTTAAATAATTCAGCAGATAAGTAAATTAAAGCATGTATACATTTAACAAACTGTATGGATAAAAAATATAGATTAATTTTTATAATAGAACTCCAGACTTCAAATATTTTGTATACTTTTGGTGATCTGCTCTGTGTTACATACAGTATGGTTCCTGAAGTTCACTTTCCTCTGCTTTTATGAGTACTTTGTGGAAAAGTGAGAGAAACACTGATGAAGAGAAATGGATATAAAATGTGTGCTCTTCTGGTACTCTTTCACATGTATCATTTTTGCCAAGCTGTGGAGATACATTGGCCTGTGCTGTGAATATACTCAGACTCCTTAAGAGGTTCCTAAACTTGGATGCTGTATGCTGCCAATTAAGAGCACAGCTGTGATCTTTAACAGTCACTTATGTGATGCTCTAGTCAAAATGGGCTGGCATCCACCTTCTCAAGGTGATGAGTCTAACCTAAGTAAACAGCTTCTTTGATCCAACGAGAAAGTGAGCAATGTTCTTCCTCACAAAAACTTGGTAATGCATATTCTAAAAATTTCACTGTGACACCCATAGAGTGTCCATGTTTGATCAATATAGAGTTTTCACATGCTAAATACAGCATTTGCAAAATATTCAGGTAGTTGATTAACCAGATTGCCTTATTATGGAGGGTTCTCAGTTATTGGGACATGCAGAGAGAAGGACATCTACTATTGGTTTCTGTGGCCCTTCTTTCCGGCATTAATCATTTAGTAGAGTCACATCTGCTGAGAAGCCACTCCTAGTTCATGACAAGAAAATGAACAAAATCAAAGATTTCAATTTTTCTTAAAAAGAATTATCAAAATATCCCGTGTTTTCTTCATTAACAATCATCAGGTGTTTCCTTAAAATAATATAATCAGTTAAGCACACAAATTTGATTATATCACTCTCATGCTCTGAATATTTTAATGCCTTTTGAGCCTATTATCTTCAAGGCAAAACTCTAAATCTCTAAATAACACGTGTCTCATCTCCTGTGATGTTCCTCTACCCGCCTGGCACCCAGTTCTTCCTTTGCGCGCAGTCGTCTCCCACGGCCACGTCACTCAGGAAGTGCTGACCACCCCCTCCCAGGAGGGGCGGAGCAAGGCCTCTCACGCCTGCTCTTCCCGCCTGGCGGTCGTCTTCCTGTACTTCTGCAGTGTCACTGCCGTCCACATCTGGCCCCGGAGCCATTTTTCTCAGAAGGGAGGGAAATTCCTGACTTCTCTGTACCGTGGTGACCCCCACTCTCAACTTCCTCATCTACACTTTGAGGAAGCAGCATGTGATGGGGGCTCTTGAGAGACTATTTGGGAAGAGAGAAGGAACAGTGAGGAGTGAGGGGCTGGGAGGCCAAGGGGAGATCAGCTTTTGTCGGCTGCAGCTACCCACGAACATAGAACTGTGGCACTTCATGCATGGATTCCTCTCCGCTACCAACACTAACACCAAGGGTCAATAGTGCGATTTGCCCAGACAGTGGGTCCATTAGAAAAGATTTTTCAACGGATTGTTTAACATTATTGCACTAAATTTGAAAGTGAATATAACAATATTTGGAATTTACATCATTTTATACCAAAAGAAAAAATTCTAGAGCATGAAGTTCTCATTAAGGAGAAGTCAAAAACATTGCCAGTTTATGGAAGCTGCTCAATATACTTCCCGCTTTCCACTTACTTGTGAGGACAGACAGAACCTCTAACCCCATGATTCATAAAATATTTTAAAGAAATAACCCTACATTTTTAAAAGCTTATGATTAGGTATTTTCCCCTATGTCCATAGAGTAAAATTTAAAATAAAAGCAGTTGTACTCATGTAAATGAATGATTGATTCAAAACATAAAGTTCTAATGCAGCTTCTTTTTTCCAGTTGATGAGAAATTATATATATGTATATATATATTTTTTAGAGACACAGTCTCACTCTGTCGCCTAGGCTGGAGTACAGCGGCACTATCATAGCTCACTGTAGCCTCAAACTCCTGGGCTCAAGTGATCCTCCTGCCTCAGCCTTCCTAGTAGCTGGGACTATAGGTGTGCACCACCACACTTGGCTAATTTTTTAAAATTTTTTGTAGAGACAGGTTTCACTCTGTTGCCCAGGATGGTCTTGAACTCCTGGCATCAAGTGATCCTCCCATTTCAAGCCTCCATACCCAAATGAAAAAACTCTACATTTTTTATTTTACTTAAAGTATAGCCACATTCTCCTGGATGAGCATAAACACCTTAAGTTTCTTCATATTAACATGTCAATTTAATTGCTTCCACTTGTCGCTCCATGAATTAGTATTAAACATGTTTTGGGACAGGATTTGTCTTAAGAGTTTTACAGAGCTTTGCCCTGAAAGAATATGTGAACGTGTTGGTTTGCATTTCGAATGCTGTTACACTCGGAAGGGTGTCTCTGAAAGGCAGTAGCAGCTGTATCCCACGAGGCGCCTCGTTTCTCAGACCTAAAGAATTGGATTTGCTTTGTAAAGCACAAGTGAATCTGTTAAAAACTATAGGCTGAGAGCTGACAATGGAGTGCCCTCCGGAACAAACAGCTTCCCGGAAAGGACAGCTTCCCAAATGGCTAAAAGCAAAGCTTTTGTTTAAAGCACTCTAGACTACCTGTCTCCATTCACAATAACCTAATAAACATGGAGCTTACATATCTCTGTTTAACCCCTGTGGTTAAATGATAAACTTACCTTAGAATTTAGAGATTCACCTTTGAAGGACTTTGTAACCATTTGCTCACATAAATAGAATTAGTTAAAGAATCTATAGAA